CAATAATCACCCAAGATCTGTATCGACTTATGATTACTCCTTAACAGTGTTAACATATATACCCGATGCAAAACCCGTCTGTAGTATTAGCCAACTTAGGAAAGGCAACATTTTCTTCAACAATTGACTTGGATTCAGGATTCTATAAAATTTTAATGAAAGACTCAGATATTAAAAAACATCCTTTTCCATTAACAAAGGGAAATTTGAATTTTTACGAATGCCTTTCGGTTTAAGAAATGCACCCAGAATTTTTCCAAAGAGCAATGGATGACATTTTCAGAGAACAATTAGTAAAAACATGTCACGTCTACATGGATGATATTATAATTTCCTGAAACACAATCAAGCAACATTACTCGGATTTAATTCAAATAATAATATTTTACAGAGAGCAAATATGAGAATTTCTCTCGAAAAATCTAAATTCTTTAAACAAGGAACCTCTTTCCTTGGTTACATTGTTTCTCATAATGTAATAAAAACAGATCCGGAAAAAAATTCCACAATTTCAAATTATCCGATACCACAAAAAAATACAGAACTTCGAAGTTTTCTAACCCGAAATTATGCTAAAATAGCAAAACCTTTAACAAAGACATTAAAAAATGTCTACAAAAATTTCAATACAGTTGGATGATTCAGTATAAAAGATTTAACGAGCTAAAAGAAAATTTAATAGCACAAGTTTAATAAGTGCAATAATAGCATAAGTTTAATAATCAACAACACAAATATTGGCGACGATGAAAGTTTTATTTCATTTGACGTAATTTCATTATTTCCGAGCATACCGACAGATCTAGCCCTGGATATAATTAAAAGCAAATGGACAATAATACAAAAACAGAGTAAAATACCGCAAGCAATATTTATGGACATAATAAAATGTTGTTTTCAAGAAAACAGATATTTCAAATTTGAAAACAATTTGTACACACAATTAAAAGGACCATAGAAATGCTACATATCATAAAAACGGACACTGACAATAGCGCTCATTATATATAGACATTTACTAGCAAATTAAATGTATGTCAAATGTAAATTGTTTTCTGTTTTTTAAGAATATTAAAATCGTTGTTATTATTTTATAGTTATCCTGAAGACGGTTGCCGAAGAGCATCCGAAATATATTGACAAATAACCAAAATTAAAAAATTGTGTTATTTTTTTAACATTCTGACATCGAGCCGATTAACAAATAATACATTTTTGAAAACATCAAAATTATGATTTACAGGCGTATATGTCTTAAAACATTGAAGCTATGATGATTTGCAGCTCAATAATTGGTTATTTTATATATTTTTATTATTTCTATGGCAGCTATATGATATAGTCGTCCGATTTTGATGAAATTTAAACCGTAATTCTGAAATATTTAACCATTCCTATATGCCGAAGAACTAAAATAAAATTAAAAAACAGCTAAGTTATAATTTTTTTTATTTATTTTTTTGATTGTTCCTATGGGAGCTATATGCTATAGTCGTCCGATCCGGCTCGTTCCGACTTATATACTACCTGCAATAGAAAGACAACTTTTGGGAAAGTTTCATGCAGATAGCTTTAAAACTGAGAGACTAGTTTGCATATAAACGGACGGACAGACGGACAGACGGATGGACAGACGGACAGACGGACGGACAGACGGACATGGCTAGATCGACTCTACTAGTAATGCTGATCAAGAATATAGGTTTATAGGGTCGGAAACGTCTCCTTCACTGCGTTGCAAACTTCTGACTGAAATTATAATACCCTCTGCAAGGGTATAATGAATAACAAAATTATAACTTTGCTTGTTTTTAATTTTTTTTTAGTTCTTCGACATATAGGAATGGTTAATTATTTCAGAATTACGGTTTAAATTTCATCAAAATCATATATATCATATAGCTCTCATAGAAACAATCGGAAAAAAATAAAAAAAAAATTTTAACTTTGCTGCTTTTTAATTTTTTTTTTAAAGTTCTTCAACATATAGTAATGGCTAAATATTTTAGAATTACGGTTTAAATTTTATCAAAATCGGACGACTATATCATATAGCTCCCATAGAAATAATAAAAATATATAAAATAGCTAATGATTGAGCTGCAAATTATCATAGCTTCATTGTTTTTAGACATATACGCAAGTAAATCATAATTTTAATTTTTTCAAAAATGTATTAATTGTTAACCGGCTCGAGGTCAGGATGTTAAAAAAAATAACACAATTTTTTAATTTTGGTTATTTGTCAATATATTTCGGATGCTCTTCGGCAACCGTCTTCAGGACAACTATAAAATAAAAACAACGATTTTAATATTTCTAACAAACAGAAAACAATTTTCATTGACATACATTTAATTTACACGTCTGCGTCCGGTGACGTGGAGTTGTTAACTAATTTCTCCTTCCCTAGTAAATGTCTATATAAATGAGCGCAATTGACAGTGTCCGTTTTGTAGTTCATCCGTATGTCTGTATACGGACATAGTTCATCCGTATACAGACATACGGATGAACTACAAAACGATTGTTTTTATGATATGTAGAATTTCTATGGTGAATCAGACAAAGGTAACAAAACGGTAGCTAAAAACAACCAAAAAATGAAGGACATATTAAAGGATATGAACACATACAGGAAATTAAAGAAAGACCCCACCTCTAAACTACAAACAAAAAATAACGGTTTGGATTTTCAAAATTTGTCTTTTTGCCTTGAGTCGAAGGTTGTTGCGCGTGTTCTGAAATAAGGCTATGGACTCGTTGTTGATAATTTCTTGAAGCTTCTGGTCATCTTTGTTTCTCATTTTGACTCCGATTAAAACCTCAAAAGGAGTGGCGTCGATGCTTTTCGAAAAAGTGGAGTTAATGGCTTGTTGAACTCGATCGACGTGTCTGTACCACTTTGTGGGATCATCCACACTCAGTTTGGATAGAACTGAAATAATGATGGCATTCAGTCTTTCCACTTGTCCGTTAACACGTGGTAGGCCTGTCGTTGATTTCACCACCTTTATGCCTTCGTCTTCGCAATACTGAAGATACTCTTGCGCGGTAAAAGCTGAGCCTCGGTCCGATATAATGCAAGCTGGGTTACCAAATATATAACTTTGGCCTCGTAGTTTGGCTATGACTTCGCTGGCAGTGGTTGACTTGGTAGGGTAAAGCCAACAGAATTTCGTAAAGGAGTCGATTACGGCGAGAATGTGCTTGTAATTTTTGCTTGTGGAGTCTAGTGGACCTAAGAAATCAATGTGATAGGTATGCAGCGGGAAATCCTCTTTGTGCAATGGATGTAACCAGCCCTCCTGTTTGCCACGCTTGCGGTTGGTCAAAATGCACGGAATGCAGCAGTCGATGTACTTCTGAATTTTTTCCTCAATGTTTTCGATGCAATACTCGTTGCAAATAGCAAAGTGTCCTCGGTCATGTGCTCTACCAATGATCTGCTTCTGCATGTCCTTGGGAACTACAATTAGTTCTAAGTCCTTGAAAAGTTTGTACAGGACACCGGCCTTCAGAAAATAGTCTTCATATGGTGAGTTGGAGTCTTCTAGGATTTTAATAATTTTAGGTGTTCATCTTTTTCTTGCGCTTGCTTGAAACCAAGGGCAATGGAGTCTTCAACGATCGTCATTATTGGGTACCTAAAAAGGGCATCAACGTGCTTCATACGTGAACCTGAACGGTGTTCAACTTTGTAGTCGTACTCTTGGAGCAAAAGTACCCAGCGTGCAACCCTAGTGCACAGGCTTTGCTTGTCTAGCGTCTTCGCGAATGCATTACAATCTGTGATTATCTTAAATGGAATGCCAAGGAGATACACTCTGAACTTTGTTATGGCCTCGATAATCGCAAATACCTTCGTAGCTTGAATATTTTCGCTGAGCATCCGTTGTTTTCCTACTCATGAAGTAGACAGGGTGAAATTGGCCGTCATCTGGTGATTTTTGCAAAAGCACGGCGCCAAATCCATCGATTGATGCATCAGTATGTACCTCGGTGTCATACTTCGGGTTGTAAATTGCCAAAACAGGGGTGGAAGTCAAGTATTTTTTTAAGGATTCAATCGCGTTCTCTTCTTCTGGACCAATTACGAAATTTGCTTTATTTTTAGTCAGATCAGTCAAGGGTTTCGAAATAAGAGCATAATTGTAGATAAACTTTCTAAAGTATCCGGTAAGACCCAGAAAACTCTCTAGCTGCTTGAGATTCTGTGGAGTCTTGAATTTCGAAACGGCATCGATCTTCTGAGGCGTCGGGGAAATTGTTTTATTCTCGATGATGTGACCTAAAAACTGAATACGGGTCTGCAGGAAATGACATTTCTTTAGGTTGAGTTCTAGCCCATAGTTGCTGCAAGTTCCTATAACTTCTTTGAGGTTCGACACAGCCTCCTTTTCGTCCTTTTCTGGTATAATGATATCGTCAACGTAAGGGAGAGCGATTCCTCTGCGAGTCAGCGTTCGGAAAATCGCATTAATGTGTCTCTGAAACACTCCAGGTGAGTTTGACAAACCAAAAGGCACCTTAAGGAACTGGTACTGCCCGCTTTGGGTCACGAATGAGGTGTACTTCTTGCTGGGATCGGCTACTGGCACATGAAAAAAGCCATTCCTCAAGTCAATCGTGCTGAACATCATAGCTTCTTGTAAGCGATCAAGCTGGTCGTCAATCAGGGGCAACGGAAAATGGTCTTTTATTATTACCTTGTTGATACGCCTGAAATCCACACAAAGTCGTTGGGAACCGTCGTTTTTCTTAGCAAGCACTACCGGGCTTGTAAATTCAGAGTCGGACTCTTCGATTACGCCGAGCCACTGCTCGATCTGCTCGTCAATTATTTTCGTTTCAGCGAATGCAAATCTACGCGGACGCGAAAAGATTGGGGTTTCGTCGTTTAAAATGATTTTCATTTCAATGTTTGTTGACTTCGATGGTTTAGGAATGTAATTCGTTATTAGTTCACGCACCTCTTTCTTTGCATACTCACTGGCTGATTAATTAATATCGAGTTCTTCGTTGTCAAGCACTGCTTTGATTTGCATTAAATTGGATTCCAATTCATCTTCGTCAAGATTGTTCAACTTTCGTACACGCAAACCACTTGGACTGAACGAAACTTCTGCTTGCAAGCACAATTCTTCTCCTATTATCAAACGAGTGTCCATACAATCACACGGAACTATGAAGAAGTTCAAGTCATAAACACTGTTGTCAATCGATACTGCTTGCTTACACTGTCCAATCGGCTTGATCTTATTGGCATTGCGATCTTTTCCAAATCCAATTAGATATACACTGCACTCTTTCAACCTTGGCAAAGCTAACTGCTTGTATAAGTCTTCGCGCAAAATGTTGAACTTGCTGCCCGTATCAAACAGCGCCACGCAATTCTGATTTTGGATTGAAACTGCTTTGCTCGTCATGTCACTGTGCTCACTTAAAACTCGCGCGTTGGGCTTGCTTTCTTCGACTGCCTTTTCACTTTGTGGACAATTCTTGGAAATGTGTCCAAATTTGTTGCACTTGAAACACTTTCTTCCTTTTTCTTTGTTGCTGCAGCCACCAGAAATATGTCCCTTTTCACCACAGTTGTAGCAAACGACTTCCTTTTTGCCACCTCTTGAACCACTTTTTGCTGCAAAAGCGTTTTTGTCTTTCACACTTCCTTCCAGAACTTTCGATTTTGCACTAATTGTTTGGTAGTCCTTCAATTTGTACTTGAATTAATGTTTTTAGCACCGTACAGAATTGATTTATTTAAAGAAAGTTCGTCGATACCGTCGATCACATATTGAATAAGAGCTTCGTCCTCAATATTTCCTCGGGATGCAATATCTTTCATGCGATAAAAGTATTCTTGCACATTTTCGTTTGCACGTCGCTTGCTCTCTCCTAGTTGCATATGTATTTGTTTGCTGCTTACTCTCGACCTGAACTCATTTAGCAAAGACTCCTTTAATGCATTCCACGAATTTAATCCCTTTTCGCTCAATATAAACATCTTAGCGACACCTTTAAGTGACTTTTTGGCAAAGATAAGCTTTTGTAGCGCATTCCAACCCATAAGTAAGGCTTGATCTTCAAAGTCGCTTATCCATACCTCAACTGGAATTCCATCACTCCCATCAAAATGTTTAATTGACTCTTCTATGTCTCGAAAACTTAGAGCAAATCGCGGCATATCAACTTCCTTGATACGTTGCGAATTCGACTTTCTCTTCTTTTCGCCTGTATAAGGTATTTCTACACCTGTTGAAAAAACACTTTTAATTTCATCATCATTTTGGCTGTCTTCGTCATTTTCCTTCTCTTCGTCGGTTTCCTCGCTCTCTGAATCGTCCACTTCGTTGAAAAAGAGAAGTTTGCCAAACTGCAGATTGCGAAAAATGTGTAGCTGCAAATGTTCTACGTCGTTGTTAATTCCCAAAACTGCGCATATTGATATCAAGTCTTTGTCTTTCAATTTTGCGTGTATGTATACACATTTGGATTTATAAACTGCGTCATTTTCGTCATACTGAAAGTCAGCAAATTCACGTAAACGTTTGCGATTGTTTCTGTCTCCTTCTCCTTCGAATATGAATTTGTGAAGTGCGCAAATGCTTTCTTTCGATGCACTTTTCAGCGTATTGGAAATCAGATCGTTTAGGCAAGCCATAGTTTAGAAAAAAAATGTTATTTTCACAGTCGTCTTTAGTCACTTTTCACTTTCACCTTCAGCTTTCCTCGGATATTTCCCGGCGAGCTTCCAAATGTGGGGTTTTTATTTATTAAGAAAGTTATAATTTAAAAGTTTGATTATTAATATTAATTAACATAGTAAGTAATCTTTGTGTTTGATTTAACCGTCGTTTCGTCGTCACACGTCGTTCGCTTGAGCACGTCTTTACTCAACTCGATCTCGTCAGCAACTAACTCTCGTCCTCTCGATATGTTGCTCTGCTCGTCTCCTCGTCGTCACATCTCGTTGTAGTGATCGTCGTCTGCTCGTCTTCCTGGAACGCTCGTCTTCTTGGAACGCTCGTCTTCTTAGAACGCTCGTCTTCTTGGAATTCGTCTTTTGATCATCTACTCGTCTTCTTCGTTTTAGTTGCTTCTCTCGTTGTCTAGGGCGTCATGTTATACGAATGCTGGGGTTTTATGTGAAGGATTCGGGGAATAATACAATCTCACTCCCACAATACTTCGAGTTGGAATGATTTTCATTAAATTGGAGAGTACTTCGATAAAGTTATTTTCTGAGTAGGGTTGAAACGAATAGATTTTTTGTGAAATTAGTTGAATGAGATTTGTTGAAAAATTGCAGACTTCAATCATTGCTTTATAATTGGTTGATTTATATAGACCTTCAGAAATATGTAGGTTTTCTGATATATTATTGGGTCCCAAAAAAAGGTTACCATTTTCCAGGACTACCGAAGTTGTTATTATTTTTTTTGATAACCCTTCGCTGATGATAACTGAGACGGTGCTATCTATTTTAGTCAGAATTGGATGAGTTGCGTTGGTGTAGTCAGAGTAAGAATTGGAAGAATTGCAGTTGGAGTAGTCAGAGTAAAATTTAAAAGGTTGATTTTTGGCACCTAGCTGTTTAAGTTTGTCCATTCCTATAAGTCCATCGAAGAAGTTATAAAATTCAAAAGCGAAAAATTCCCAATTACCTTTAACTTTAAATTCTTCAAACCAGGCGAAATTGGCTTTAGTGTTTATTTTTTCCTTTTTTTTCAAAAAATCCTGAATCTTTTATATGGTGACATTTAAAAGTGTGAGTTGTATCCACAAATTTTGGGTGTATGATCGAGGCCATTGCGCCTGTGTCTATAAGCAATTTAAAAGAGGTCAATGTTTGTTAGTTCTGTTTAATTGTCGGCATGAGTTTCAGTGTGTAACGAACACTGATAAATTTCTGTTTTGCGGCCTGATGTTCGGCTTGATCACTGAGCGCACGCAATGTCTACCTCGGCTCTGGCTCGTCAGCAATTGGGGGTGTTGTTCTTGCTCAGAAATCAAGGCGGCCTAACTAATTATTAACAAATTCAATTTGCGTGCTGCGACAAGCAAAAAAAACTACTTCGAACACACTCCTACATTTTGGGCTATTGCAGTTGGCCAAGAGAGGCCAGGCACTTAACTCGATCTGCTACCGCATCTCCACCTCTGCTGTTAATGAGGCTGGCTTCGCCCACCCTTCCATCGGCCGTTCCCCCTTCCCTTCACTCCCGGAACAGCCCCTTGCGGTATTGGTTAATCAAGGCATCGTCCGCCGAGGACAAACATTAAAATTTATTTATTTAGCACTTTCCGTCGAACTCCTCCGCTCGCTTTGCGAGGCGGTCGCGTTACCACTATCTCCCCTCCCTCGAAGAACTCCAGGCGTAGGTGGATTTCGACGATCGGCTTGAGTGTTCCCACTTCGTCCGGGTGTTGCGAAAAAAAAATACAGCAAAGCTGCAGGCCTAATGTGAACAAATAAATTTCTTATATTTTTGCCATCACATTTTTTTTCTTTGTTTTTCCCCCCATGCAAGCGTCTACTAAAAAAAATCTCTTTATCTGCCCTTTACCCCAATAACTCACCTAGTTTCGTTGCCTTTATCTGCACTTTGAATTATTGGCTGTGTGCTATACACCGCCTCTCTTCCTTCCGATCGAATATTTCTTGCACCATAAATAAAACTTTTCACTGTGGTAACAACCTCTCTGGTGGAAGGCTCAAAAGGAAAAGAACGCTGATGGCGGCAAGCCCCTTAACAGCGAAAGAATAGAAATGCTCTCTCCAGATCAGTGCTTGACACTTAGCCCTGTTGACCCGCCACATTTGCCACGAACTGATACCGCCACCTGCTCGTAGATGGCGCCAGAAACTGGGTTCAGTTTATGCTACCAGCGCTATGAATTTCTGAGGCTCTGTAGGGCTTTAAGGCCCTGGAACTCGGGGTCGATTTTATTTATGTTGCTGGAGGATTATTTTGGACTGTATTACGATTAAAGGATGACTGAACGTTTTTGATAATTCCTACTATATTCCTTATTATTTTCAAAGCGGTTACTATGGTATCAATTATTAAGGGGGTTGTACCTTTGTTTATGATTATTTTGGTAACCATAAGTAGTGTTAGATCCAACTTTAGGTGTATTCCACCTTTGTCTATCCTGATTGTGCCACCTATCTTCCCCGTTTTTTTCCTAATATCATGTTCTCTATTGCAAGCAATGAAGCCTTCGCCTTCGCTTATAGCCCTTACAATTGATCCTTTGACATCGTTAAGGCATGTTAAGAAGTTATCCAGACATAACTCCTAAACCCATGTAGTTTTGATTAAAATTCCATAATTTGCTTATGAAATTCTTTAAACGTCAGTCTACCTTGTCTTAAAATCCCTATTGTGGATATGAGAGTCGATTCGGATAACGTTTGCAGAAGTACTGTGCTAGATTATTTTTTATTTCATCCCAAATTAATGGGGTGTCATACATTTTAAGCACCTTGTCCGCTTACACCTCAGTCCCTCGCAAAAGAAGGAGTACACATCAGTTATGAAATGGGCAAGTATATCGGCACTTCCCGGGAATGTCTGAATTGTGTATTTGGTTCTGGGATTCTCATTTGGTTGAACAAGTTTATCAAGGGAAGTAGAGAGGGGTTTTTGTGAGGCTACCAGCTGATTGTTGGGGTTCTGGGGGCAATAGAGCTGGCACTAACAAGCAGTGTCCACTTTGTCACGCAAATCAAAACATATCAGTCTCATCAATTATCAATTCCTTGTCGTTGTCAGACGTGCATTTTTATCGCTCCTCCATTTGATCACATATTACCCTTGTAAACTACATCGATCAAAGCCGATTTTGCTCATTTTGAATTCTTTTCGGTGATCATAACGAATAGTTTTGATCGCAAAAACACAGTGACTTACACGTAATTTGCATAGTTACGTTATCTGAAAACGTTTTGCGTGTTTGCTTTGTTGCTCTAGACTGTTCTTGAGTTTACCGCAAACTTCTACACTTGGGTTTTGTTGTTTGTGTATTTGCTTGCTCATCGTTTCGTCGCGAACACTCGGTTTGAAAAGTTTGAATCAAACTTTAAAAGCCTTTCTACCAGGATGACCTCTACTGATATTGCTGTCGGCCGACGTTTGCTATGGGCCTTCTCCCGCCGCTGACTATTCTGGACCGCCCGATCGACTCGCACCTTCTGATCCGCAACTCGTCTACAATGACCAGGAATCTACGTCGTGTGCGGCTGCAGTTGATTCTGGCATATTTTGACGCTTTCTAATACGAACGCGGGACCACCGCAGTCAACCTTATCTGGAGTCGCTCATCTCGAACCTAAGCCCTTTTCGGGCGTTGCACTAAAAAAGCTTATTTGAAGAAGACGTCAAAAACTACCTGAGCAGCAAACTGAATGTTTCTCGAGTCGAACTGATCGTCTTGAAGTTCAAGTTTAAGCAATTGGCAATTTGATTGTTTTCAAAGGTGGTGTTAATTTAATCTCTTAAATCGGAGTTGCCTAAAATGAAACGTAACGACTTTTTATTGGGTTACGCCTTCATTTACAAGTTTTTCTCTTCATAATGTGTTACAGTGTTATATTCGGTCAACTGTCACTGTCACATAAAGTCTACTGTTTATATGTTTTAAGACGTAAAATATCTTCCTTTAAAAATAGACTTCCAAAGTACCAAAAAACTAAATAACTTTTTTTCCCTACACTACCAGAATGTTCGAAGCTTATTGGGCAAAGTGTCAACAGTGTCTCCTTCGATGCCAATGTTATTGCTTTTACCGAAACGTGGCCTTATTCCTCTGTGTCTGACTGGGACACCGCACAATGCGGTGGTGCTCTTATTGCCGTCAAGTCCGATCTTGTCTCTGAAAGCATTCCGATATTTGGTACGGACAGCATATAAGATTTCGTTGCAGTTCGGATTAAGCTTCACGATTATTTCGTTTGTATATCAGCTCGGCTATAACGATCATCTTATTATTGAACTGCTC